TATATTAAGCTTGAAAAACTATTATAAGAGTAGATTTTTAGCTGGGTGGCGGTGGTGCACTTCTTTAATCCCAGTACTTAGGAAACAGAGGCAGGAGGATTTCTGTGAGTTTAAGGCCAGCCTGGTCTACTACAAATCAAGTTTTAAGACAGGCAGGGCTATACAGAGAAACAGTATCTCAAAAAAAAACAAAAAACAAAAAACAAAAAAAACAAAAAGCAAAACACTCACATAAAAGATTTTAAGTGTTTTCACCACAAAAAAGTATATGAATTAATTCACATGTTAATATAAATAATTCCACAATGTATGAATACACCAAAATATCACATTGTGGGGCTGGAGAGAAAGCTCAATGGTTAAGAGTCTACACTGCTTTTGCAGAAGACCTGACTTCAGCTTCCAGCACCCATATCAGGTGGTTTACAACCATCTGCAAATCCAACTCCAGAGGACCCAGGATCCTTTTCTGGCCTTTATAGGCACCCGTGCTTGTGTGCACATTCCCCTACATAGACACACACAATTAAAATGAGATCTTCAGAGCTGGAGAGATAGTTCCACAGTTAAGAGCACATCTGTTATTGCAGAGAAGCTAAGTTTTGCTCCCAGCACCCACATCCCACAGTTCACAACCACCTGTGACTGCAGCTCCAGGAAATCTGAAGTCCTTTTCTGGACTCTGAAGGCTTTGTACTAACATGTGCATATACCCATACACAGACACATATACATATAATTAAAATTTTTTTAAATCTTGAAGAAAATTTAAATCTTTTTTTAAATGTATGTACATTATAAATACAATTTTGCATGTAAGTTAAGAATAAAGAAAAAAATCAAAATCAAATTCTTATAAAAATTTTCTCAGACATTCGTAGTGGGTTGCTTTTGAGCCATGCCCTGAAGCACTGCCCCTAGTGAGGCAGCTGTAGCTGTTACACCTGCCTATGACCTTGAGGTATCTGTCCTTGGGGCATGGCCGCTGGGGGACCCTTAAGACCTGGAATGCACGTATGTATGTATGCAGTTTTGTGTTGGCTACCTCATGGTTTGGATGCCGAGATCTTAGACCAAGCTGTTCAGCATGGGACATAGCTCAGCTTTCCCGGACCCTAAGATAAATCCGCCATGCTGTGCTCAAGCCTGAATGCTGGGGTGTCTCTGTACTATGGCCCCATGAGAGGCACACGTAGGAAGCTGTTTTTGGCTCTGGTAGGTGTTTATTACCTCAAACATTATGAAGTTAGATTGCATTCAGAAGATGCTCATAAACTGTTCTTTTCTTCAAAAAATAATTAAAGCACGCAAAGTATAGAGGAAAAATTAGTAGAATCATTGTATCTAGTGTAAATATTAGAATGAAATAGTTGTTTTCACTGTATTTAGGGTGAAGTTCAGAATGAATAGTTGTTGTCTAGAAGTATTCATACTTTAAGGAAAACAGTGATTGTTTTCTATTATCTATAGAGTTGTTTTTCTGAAGGGGCTTTACAGCCTTTGCATGACTTCTTGCATTATCGGGTACTGCAAACAGTAACCAATAAGGACAAAAGTTGCAGGGTGTAGTGTTTTCCTTCAGAAAACATAGATTAGATCAAGGGCTTTGGTATGAGGAACTTGTTTTACCCAAAAAACAACTTTTGTGTAACCATCAATAAATACATTTCAGCATGGCTATTTGAGGTTCAGTTCCTCAAAACTGTTCCTCCCTGCTGCCACAGAGCCTGGACTGCATTTTGCAGTGACCCTCTTTCTTTGCATGTCCCAGGCAACACAGAACGCAGACAGCAAAGCATGCTTGTTACTGGATGTGCACTTAAACAGTAGTCCAAAGAGGCAGACTTTCTCACTGGCACGATCCTTAAATTTAAATTTAGATTTACAGAAATATTGAGTTATGTGATAGCAAGAGAAATGGTATCCTTTTCCTCCATGTCCAGTACTGCCCTCTTGTGGTAATGTGGCTCTTTTGCAATCCCTCACAATTTCAAAAAAAAAACGGACACAGCAAAACCAGTAAGAATTCTCACTGCACCAACAAACTGCTACTGAGTTGAACTGATTGGGCTCCAGTTGAGCTATTTTAACTGAAATTGTTATTTACCACAAATGTATCATGGTGTCTGGAGTCCCGGGATTTTGAGAGTGCACTGGGAAAGAAAAGCAAAAGAAGCAAGCCAACCTTCCCTTGCAAAGGGGCTCCTGGCTATTTTAGGAAGCAACTTCCTAGCAGAGGCTGATACGAGCAAGTTCAGAATTCCGAGTTTGCACACAGTCTAAAGAACTTTGAACTATGTATGTTAAGTACCAAATGTCAAAAATTTTGTCATGTCAAAAAAAATCAAAATAAAAATCACTTTCATTTGCAGAAATGACACTTAGCTATTCTACTGGGGCAGACACAAAGACTCCACTATAGGCCAAGCTATCTGTGGTGGTTTGAATAAGAATGGCCCCATAGGCGCATATATTTAAATGCTTAGGGAGTGGCACTATCTCAAAGGATTAGTAGGTGTGGCCTCACTGGAGGAAGTATGTCACTGGGGGTGGGCTTTGAGGTTTCAAAAGCCCAAGTGGCTCTCTTCCTGCTGCCTGCAGATCTCTATGTAGAAGTCTCAGCTCCTCAGCTCCTTCTCAGGCACCATGTCAGTCTGCATGCTGCCATGCTGCCAATGGAATAACCCTCTGAAGCTGTGAGCAAGACCAAATTACTTTCTTTTTTTAAACGAGTTGCCATGGTCATGGTGTCTCTCCACAGCAATAGAATATTGACTAAGACACTGTCACCCAGGAAAAAAAGCAGTGGCTCCAGAACCATTTGGAAGGCTGTAAACACAGTGACAGGAACACATTTTGTTCTACTGATAAAAATGTGGATTGTCGCAGGGCAGTGGTGGCGCATGCCTTTAATCCCAGCACTTGGGAGACAGAGCCAGGTGGATCTCTGTGAGTTCGAGGCCAGCCTGGGCTACAGAGTGAGTTCCAGGAAAGGTGCCAAAGCTACACAGAGAAACCATCTCGAAAAACCAAAAAAAAAAAAAAAAAAAAGTGGATTGTCCTGAGTCGTGGCATTTTGCGTTTTCCATTTTGCTTGCTTCTCTTTCTAACACGAGGGCTTTTGCGGGGGTGGGGGACATGCCAACAGGAACCCTGAAACAACTGGTGCAATGGTGGTTTCCTTTATTTGATGGGTTGTAAGCTCACTTCTTTTACTTTTAAATTGGAAGCAGAAACAAGCCTCCTTTCATTTGTATCCAACCAAAATTCCTGTATGGAAACCCTAACCCCTATGGCCCCTGACTAGAGATCAGAAGCAAGGAAACAATGGTTAAATGAGGTCATAAGGGCTGTGTCTTATCCAGTATTGCTCCACAAAAGGAAGAGACAACACAGCTTGTTCTCAATCGACACACCAGGAAATCGGAAGTCCTACTCCAGTGAGCATATGAACGGTAGAGAAATAGTCTTACTGCTGACATAAAGCTTCAGTGACCAGCCAGGTGGGTGGTGGTGGAGCATGCCTTTAATCCCAGCAGAGGCAAGTGGATCTTTATGAGTTCAAGGCCAGCTTGGAATACAGAGGCCGAACAGTCACAGTACTGCAGAAGTTAAAGTGGAAGCTAGACTGCACTCTCCGTGATGCTGAGCCACCCTGCTGTATCACACCATTCCCACATTGATGGACTGTAGAAAAAGAAAGGAGTTGGAAAGCAGCAGCTTGGCTTACAAGGCTTAAGAAAAACACCACCATAACATAAACATGCAAGGTAAGGATGCAAACACTGTGTTATCCAGAGCAAGCTCTTTAGAGGCTTTAGCTAAGATAACTGATGAGGCAGATGCACTGAGTAAGATTTACAGATGAAACAGATGCTATCAGGAGCATCGGGGCTAACAGAAAGTCAACACCTGGATTCACAGATCCCAAGGACGGGCTGACTTTGCTGGAATTATATCACTTGGTCACTGAAGAACTATGACAGAGGTGAGCAACACTGACAGGAGTTTGGAAGCTCTAACTGCTGCCCCTCACAGGTGACCAGGAGGCTCAAGACCTCAGTAAAGGAAGCATTTGGATACATGGTAAGCACAGGAGGCCTTAAACTAAAAGTGGGGCTTGATGTGACTGAATAGCTCAAAGTGCCTAATATTTAATGGATGAGAAATTACTTTTTTTTTTCAAGACAGGGTTTCTTTGTGTAGCTCTGACTATCCTGAAATTCACTCTGTAGACCAGGCTGGCTTCGAATTCACAGAGATCCACCTGCTTCTGTCTCCCAAGTGCTGGGATTAAATGCATGCACCAATACTACCAAATTACTTCTTATGTACAAGCAAAAAGTCATTTATTTAGATGAAATATATTCCTGGTAAAGGCATAAAAAATGTTATTAAAGTGACAAAAGATTCAGAATACTTTATGTTTAGTTGATGAGGCATCAGCAGAATTTGAAAGAACAGATTCCAATTTTGAAAGCAGCTCTGGGCAGGTCAAACACTACCAAACAATATTACATAGAACTCCTGTATGAAGTGAAGAGCCAATCAATGTCACCAACCTCGTGTTCTTAGAAACTGCCACAGCCACCCATCTTCAGCAGTCACCATTCTTTTTTTTTTTTTGGTTTTTCGAGACAGGGTTTCTCTGTGTAGCTTTGCGCCTTTCCTGGAACTCGCTTTGGAGACCAGGCTGGCCTCGAACTCACAGAGATCCGCCTGGCTCTGCCTCCCGAGTGCTGGGATTAAAGGCGTGCGCCACCACCGCCCGGCCTAGTCACCATTCTTTATCAGTGGGCAGCCGTCAAAATCCAGGCAACACAACCCATCATCAAAAACGATTAGTACTCACCACAGCCCAAATCATCACCAACATTTTTTTTATTTCTTTTTTTAAGCAAGAAGGTATATATTTTTCAGTTCTACCAGTGACCATCTTTAATTATTAGTTGTACTACTTTGCTATTTGTTGCTATGATAAAACATTGACCAAAAGCGACTTGGGGAAGGAAAAGGTTTATTGCTTTACAGGTTACAATCAATCAATGGGTGACAAGGCAGGAACTGAATGCAGAGACCATGGAGAAACAGCTTTTCCGACTTGCTCAGCTAAGTAAACAGCCTAGGCCCATCAGCCTAGGCATGAAATTGCCCACAGTGGACTGGAGCTCCTACATTATGTACTTAAGACAATATCCCCATCCCACCCAGACGCACAAGCCAATCAGATGGAGACGATTCCTCAGTTGAGGGTCTCTCTTTCCAGGTGTCTCTGGTTTGTATCAAGTTGACAAAAACTAACCAGCACATTAGTGTGCATTCACTCTAAAAAAGTTCACTGTGAAATCTTCATACACAGATATTAATGTGCTTTTGTGATATTCAACTTCCATCCCCATCTCTTCCCCCCCCCCCAGTTTCCTTACCTCTTCACATATATTTTCACATCATTTTAAATACCAGATTCTGCATATGAATAAAGACACATTTTTCTAAATCTGGCTTATTTAGCTTAGCATAGCTCCAGTTCTATCCATTTTCTTGCAAATGACAGAATTTTTGTTTTGAGAAACAAAATTGTTCTTTTTTACTGAAAAAAAAACCCCACAATTATGTATATGCCAGGTTACTTTATCCACTCATCTGTCTGTAGGCATCTAGGCTAGTTCCCTAATGGGGCTATTGTGAATACTGTTCCAATAAACAAGGGTGTGCAGGTGTCTTGGAGACCTTAGATTCCTTAAGGAATTAGTTACATTAATGGGGTGAGTTTCTCTGGAAGGAGAAATAACCAGGGTAAAGAAGGCCACCCGCCTTTAGTCATTAGAATAATATCAAGAATATTTTCAACAACTCACTAAAGGGAAGACTGTACCTCCTGCAAGAGGTCAATAAGGACCTGACACATCTTAGACTAAGTAACAGTCCACCTACTGTAGTTCCCAGTTCCCCAGAAAGGTTAAAGGTTTGATCCTCAGATTAGCAGGTCCAGTCATCTCTTACATTTCATTACATTAATAGCATACTTATAATCGGAAGTCAATACTCAGATTCCATTCTACATGTATATATTCTTTGCACTAAGTGTACAAGTCTCGGTTCCCCTTCCTGTAGCAGGCTTCACTTATTCTTTGAAACGCCAACTTTAGGGCTAAAGAGATGTCTCAGAGACTAAGAATGTGTACTGCTCTTCTAGTTCAATTCCCAGCACCCATGCCAGGCCTGCTGCCTGTAACTCTAGCTCCAAGGGATTATTGCCTGTAGCCTCTAAGAGCACCTGTACACAATTGCATATATCCACACATAAAATCAACTTAAAATTTTTTAAATAGAACTACCATTTTAGTAGGCAGTTCTCTACCTTCCAAGCAATCTCACTGTAACTATTTCTAAATCTCTAATCTACCAGGAATTAGAAAATGCCTTGGGTTTTGACTGGTTTTCTTAATTTAGCCCTTCAGATTATCTGACTTTGTAGAAGCTGTTTCTTTTTTAAGATAAGGAGCTGAAGGGCTGGAAAGATGTCTGAGCAGTTCAGAGCACATACTGCTCTTACAGAGGATCAGTTTGATTCCCAGCACCCATACTGCATGGCTCAATCACTGGGTAACATCAGCTACTGGGAGATCCATGCCTCTGACCTTGGCAGGCAGCTTCACTAATGCATGCACGGGAGAACATACACACACTTAAAAATTAAATCTTTTTTTTTTTTTTTTTTTTAATAAGGAGTTGCATAAAATCTACAGATTCAGTAGGGGCCATCAAGGGAGACTCACGACCAGAGATAGAGTCACAGAAATCTGAAACAATATTAAACGTAACCAGTGACATAACCACATTCAAAGATAATGACTTCTGTGGAGAAACTAACTGGCAATGTTCTCACAGGCTCTCTTTTTTTTCTTCATTCCTTTGCTAGGTACATAGTAGACAAACACAGGACTTCACACTAAAACAGATCTAAGTATGAAGTCAAGTTCTAATGTAATTGTAGTGCTTGGTCTGTTTCAGTGTCTATGTCTTGCTAATAGTAGTAATAACTTTGTGTTAGAGAGTATCCATGGTATTTTGTTTAGTTACACAATACTATAGTTATCAAGTATCTTGTGTAATGTTAGAAAACCAGAGAAAATCACTGTAGAACTGCATGTAGGTGCTCAGCCACTTGCTGGTAAGTCACTGGGGAAGAAGTAACAATTTCTGCTTCCTCCATCTCCTGTGTTCCAATACCACCTGTCTCTGCAGCCTAACCTGGAGAAGCAATCCCGCTTTCCAAAGATGCTCTTCTTCTAGGTGTCTTTTCGGCTCAGTTCAAACATCACCTACTGAGAGACCTTTCTTAGGTTCTACCTCAATACTTCTAAGAGATCTCTCTAGGGCCAGGCGGTGGTGGCGCACACCTTTAATCCCAGCACTTGGCAGGCAGAGCCAGGCGGATCTCTGTGAGTTCGAGGCCCGCCTGGTTTACAGAGCGAGATCCAGGAAAGGCGCAAAGCTACACAGAGAAACCCTGTCTCAAAAAACCCAAAAAAAAAAAAAAAAAAAAAAAAAAGAGAGCTCTCTCTATGGGTCTCAAACTCCCACAAGAGGAAGTGATTATGTTTATGAATTAACTTGTCTATCTCCACTAATCGGACTATAAAGTCCATTAAGGAGCTTAGTGGTCCAGCTCAGTTGTATTTCTGAGCCTAGAATAGTAATTTTTTTTTCAAAAGTAGATTTTCTGTAATTGGGGAGGCAGGGATGTTGGATGGAAAAGGTTATTAAATTCCAGGTTATTGATGAAGATCTGCCTCTGTTCATATCTGGCTAATTTTTGCCTCCACAGAAAGCAACTGTCCACTTTGCCTTACGGTCTATTTCAACAAACAGGCTCATCTTCTCTAATGCAGATCCCTTTAATAGCTCCCTCCTTGTAATAGACTGCAAGGCCCTACTTGATGGGCATCTCCCTTCTTTCTCTCGGTTTCCCACAGCAGTACCTGTTCACTACCCTTTTCTTTTTCTTTGAACATGGCCAGAATCCTCAGGACATTTGCTCTGGGTGGTTCCTTTTTCCTGAAATGCCTTTCTTCCTATACTTAATTGGCTAGAGCCGGGCAGCAGTGATACACACCTTTAATCCCAGCACTTGGGGAGGCAGAGCCAGGCGTATCTCTGTGAGTTCAAGGCCAGCCTGGTCTACAGAGTGAGATCCAGGACAGGCACCAAAACTACACAGAGAAACTCTGTCTCGAATAACCCAAAAAAAAAAAAAAAAAAAAAAAAAATATATATATATATATATATATATATATATATATAGTTAATCAAACTAGGGAGATAAAGTATACTTTTTCAATCATGGAAAACTGGACTTGAAATCTTATGCTGCCATTTATTTCAGTTTTGCAAAACTGCAGGAGACTTAATTTCATCCACAAATCCAGTTTAGCAGTAACTTCACCTTGAACAGTTTTAGTACATTAAATATGGCCATGTTATTAGGCCCCAAGCAGATTATTTTAGCATAATATTCCTAGGAAACTTTACATAGAGTTGGGCCAAGTGTTTTAAACCTGGGACCCCAGTTACTTGGGAAGCTGAGGCAGAACAATCACAAGTTCCAGGGTGGCCTGGGTAACACAATGAAACATTGTCTCAGGAAGCTTTTTCTTGTACAACTGTTACTAGGTTAAGCCAAAGACAGTAAGTCTAGGAGGTATCAAGATGAAGGTTATAGAAAACTCCAAGCTGTTTTTCCTTCTTACATGACTTTCATGTCATAAAAGTACTTTAAATCACTTAGGAAAATTAACTAAAGTCCCCCTTGTAAAATGCTACCATTCTTTTCAAAATATCATCAGTGGTTCTTTTCATGAGACACTGGCTTGGCCCAGGTTCTAAGCCACTGGGGAACTTTCTCAGCTTTTAGAGACCTCTAATGTTTACTTCTTTCTAAAACTAGCAAGATATATACTACAGTCCAACAACCCTTTAAACTTCAGAATCTAAGAGTAAAATATCGGTAATTAGTAACCCTTTGAGAAAAATTTATACCACAATTCTCCATGTTTTTATTAGTCTTTTTAACCAAAGACTAATTTGGTTATTTCAAATGGTTCAAGTTTTCCAAATATTTTTTATTTTTGTATAGAAATTTAAGCTAAAAAAAAACAAAAAACAAAAAAAAAACACCTTACTCATAGATTTCTCTTAATTCTGGCATAGGTCATTTTTAGAGATTGCTAAGGTACACCCTGTAGAAGGAAAAAAAGAAAGTTTGGCTCTCTATAGCCCCCATAACTTTTATAAGTTTATAAAGTTTTTAAGCTTATGCTAAGGATTAGAATAAAATCATAAAATCCCATTCTGAATGTAGAAAAAGCAATCAGAAGCCTAGTAAACCGTAATTCTAAGACAGAAGACACCCAACATTTCAGCACAGAAAAAGAAGAGCAATCAGGACCCACCTCACTACTCAAGCAGCGCCCAGCACTTTACCCTGCGAACATGGAAGTGGGTAGACAACAAAGCAATGTTCTTTCAAGGGTCAAGCTCAAATGACGGTGAAGACCATCTACTAATTCGTAGCTGCTGAAAGTAAAATTTCCTAAATATCACAATGATAGTGTTTTACACAAATTTACAGACTAAGGACTTTTTAAAAATTTTTGTTCCTTATCTAAGATTTGCAAGTGCTAACCCAAAACTGTATTACCAGTCATTTATTCTCAAGTGAAAAGGAGACAAAGCATGGTAAAGACTGCTTTATTGGTGGCAGTTAGTACACATCAATAAATATTGATCCCCAAAGAAGAGCTCAGTTACTCATCAGATTCCTGGTCCATTGAGCGCTGAATGAAACTGAACCATGTGAAGACTGGGATGATGAAGTCAGTTCTGCTTCTTGGGAAATGCAGCCATAACTAACATATAGATGGCATACGCTGTTCCTGAGAAACACACGAAAGCTTAGTAGGGATTCTGAGATTTCAGTACATACACTTAATATTTCAGCTCCAATGTTAAGGTCAAAATTATGTTAAGACAAGCTTAATGGCTGGGCATACAGCTCAGAGGTAGGGTGTTTCCTTCTAGTGCTTAAGCTCCTGGGTTTGATTTCTAGTGAGAACACACACACATACACAACCCTTAATCAAACATAAAAGTATTTTGATAGATGTTGAAATTTTTAAAAAATTAATCTAGTTTCATTGTTACTTCATTTCTATGTTTAAAGGGTAGATATGCCACAATGTCTTTCAACATAATGAATGTAAACATTTTTAAAGCCCCTAGTACTGGAGGCAGGGTAGTGTGAATGTTTTGGGGGGGCCCTGTTTGAGAACTACTAGTACCACACACAGAAAGCTACCTCTATCAGGTTAACCACAAACCTGCCGAGTCAGACCTCTTCTGATGGTTAAAGTGCTCTTGGGTAGTATATTCTAACGCCCTCTTGACTCTTCTCTGAGGTGCAGTGAGACAGCATACAGACAGACTGCCTGCAATAAACACTGCCCCAGCAAAAGCAAGGAAGCTGCCGCTGCTGCCCTTGTCCTGTAAACACTCAAACAATGTCTTACCACCAACTGTCAGACCCATTGTGAGTCTGTAGAGGAGGGCATCAGATGCTCCGCCCTTCAGATGCACTGGGATTCCATTATCCTCCTGGGTCAAAAAAAAAAAAAAAAAGGCATTGATACATGTGTCACTTGTTTCCAGTTAAGAGTTGGATATTAATTACTCATATAAAATCCAACAGCTCCTGACACCCCCAGAATTTAAATCATTTCAGAGGCTTACAATTTTTTTGCTTTCCCTACTACTTTGAAATGACAAACAGTAAAACACAGCATCCTTTTCAGGCTAATGTGAAACCTAGGGAGTTCTTCTTAAGGACTATACAAACTTCAAAGCAGGAAAATACACTCCTTGAATCCCACAACGTACAAATAAGATAACAACCTGTTGATCATCAGGAAGACTTTTTTTCTCCCCTTATAAAAGGGGGCAAGGGGCTTTGGCTTCTAACACTAGTCCAGCATCTTTTATATCCACTTAAGAATTTTATTTTTATGAAACATACCTAATACTTTTACTACTTAAAATTTTACTTAGGAAAAAATTACAAATCACAATAAAACAAAAATTATTCACAATCTAATTACTTAAAGATTAAATGCTCTCTACTCCACTGGGCCTTTCTCCAAGGCATACCAACCATTAACAGTATGGTATACATCACCATTTTTAATGCTTATATTTATCAATTCTTCTAAGTTATATGTACTTAATATACAAAATGGCATTATGCTATGTAATGTTATACACTATTTTCAAAAACAGTTTCTCAGTCCATTTAAGTCTCTTTTCAATGGCTATATAATATTCTACCGGCTGAAAAATGTCTTAACTGAATCAGCCAATCCTTTAGTAATTTCTAGGCTGAGTTCCTTAAAATCTTTTATCTATTTGCTTATACATATGCATGTATTCCTAAGTGTCTTAAAGAGGGCTTCTTAGATGACAGGGTATGTGATTAGTTTATAATATTTCAACTACCAGCTAAACTTCTGTCCCTAATATACTACTGCTTATCTTGTATGAAAATCCTGTGAATGGTACTATCTTTCTCCCATACCTGGCAAACATAATCTATTTTAAATCTTTCTATTTAGATTGCAGGGAGTAGGGTTGCCACTCATTATCTGTTTGCTTTAAGAAGACTTGGTTCTAAGAGCTGACAAAGAAGCTGTAGTTCTTCACTTCTAAGAACAGTTAAAGAAGGGCGGTGGTGGCGCACGCCTTTAATCCCAGAACTCAGGAGGCAGAGCCAGGTGGATCTCTGTGAGTTCGAGGCCAGCCTGGTCTACAGAGCGAGATCCAGAAAAGGCACCAAAACTACACAGAGAAACCCTGCCTCGGAACAAAAAAAAAAAAAAAAAAAAAAAAAAAAAACAGTTAAAGTCAGGGTAACGTAGCCTTAAATCTATAAAACTGAGAAGACAATGACAGGGTTACAACCATTCCTTGGTGACAGTCATATGGCCAAGCTGGTGTATAAAGTTGTGTCCAGAAAGGGGCTGGAAGAACAGTGTTGGCAGCCTTCACGGCTTTGAAGGAACCACCACACGGCAATACTTCTGTTCTACCAGCAGATAGGGGCCAGCAGTGGTCCTCTATCTAGGTCTCCTGAAGTCATGTTCTGGCTCCATTAAAAGGCAGAGTCCAAACCTCTACAGTCTCCCAATCCACTAGCTAGAATGTGTTTAGGGCAAAAGGAGCTAAATAGAAGGTTAACAGTCAAGAGCACAATGCCTGCCACATTCCATAGGAATCTTCCTTGCCCGACGGTTGTGGTGAACTTAATTTGCATTTCTTACAGACCTGTAGTTTTTTTTTTAATATCAGTGATATAATTATACTTTGAAAAACTGCTCATCCATTCCTTCTCTTTACATCAATAAACTGTCTATTTTTAGGCCTTGATTTCTCTCCTCAGGTCTTTTGAAGTTTCCTTAGAAATCTTCCCCACCTAAGACTATACTATACTCTTCCCCCTGAATTTCTACACTATTTATTTTTTGTTTCTGAGCCTTTTCTTATTTTCCTACTCCTATGCAATTATTTCCCAAAGAATGCCAATTCATCATAAATCCTCCCCCCAACCCAGCACACACAAATTCACTGACCTATGCATTTTTCCCGCCTCCCCAGGCACTTCTAGGATACAGCAAATAGTTACCAAGAGAGTCCCGTATGTTCAAGCTAATACAAAAGAGGCTCTAAGAAGCAGACCTCTGGATTTACTCCCTTCTGGGCTCTATTACAAATAATGACCACCTCAAATATTTTAGTACCTGAAACAGCTTTTGTTTCTCTGGAACTTTGTTTTCAAAATGCCTTCGTGAAGTAGTGCTGATGGTCCTCTGGGCAATCTGACGGAGGGCCTGAAACGGTAAATCCACATACAGTAAACAGGACTTAGAGCCTAAAGAAACCTCCAAAGGCAATTTCCAATCCTTCACATTGTGAAAGGAAACTGAGCTTTAAACTTGTCAGTAACAGAAGTCCAGGACCAACATCCAGGCTTTCCAGATGCTGTCTATCCTTTGCTCTGTGCTTCACACTATATAATCTGCAGTCCCCAGAAGTCATCACCTATATAACCTGTGCCTGAAGTCAATCAGTAGTATTTTGTTTTTCTTGAACAAAGCACAATGATATACAGAAGAAAAAAAATAGACTATGTTCAAACATTTTCATTTGGAATTCACCTACATTAAAAATCTATTTATTACTTGACTGAAAAATAAACCAGCAAGATTTTTTTTTTTTTTTTTTTTTTTTTTTTGCTACCACAAAGATTCTTACTCAATATTATTTTTCAGAAGAGGGCACATGCTAGGCAAGCACCCTACCAGTTACACTCCTACATCTCAGAAAACTGTAATGGGGTGTAAGTCTTGCTTAAAGACTTACAATGCACACTTATTTGAATCAGTAAACATGCACTTTAATAACTTATCACTACCACTTTCTTTTTTTTTTTTTTGGTTTTTCGAGACAGAGTTTCTCTGTGTAGTTTTGCATCTTTCCTGGAACTCACTTGGTAGCCCAGGCTGGCCTCGAACTCACAGAGATCCGCCTGGCTCTGCCTCCCGAGTGCTGGGGTTAAAGGCGTGTGCCACCACAGCCCGGCAATACCACTTTCTAAATGGTACTGATAAGTTATTAAAACTGTTAAATAATTACAAAAGAGAATCAAATCACATCTTTTTAAATTCTGGAAAAATACTTCAGAAGCTCAGAGGTGTTAAAAGGCAATTCAGAATCACCATTACACTTCAGCCGTCGATACCCATTAAATCCCAATCAAAAATTGAATAATTTAGTTCTTTAGCTTACTTCTGATGCAGATAAGAACCATGTAGATTTATATCCTTTCACTATAATACAGGGTTTGGGGATTTAGCTCAGCTCCAAAACAAAAAAAAAAAACAACAAAAAACCCCCCCACCCCCACCAAAAAAAACTATGATCCAAAACATTATGACAAAAAGTGTTTCCAGGTGTCAAAAATCCCACCCACTGGAGCCTACATCAGAGCTACAATCTTATCAATAGTCACCAGTTAACGGTAGTGACTAGGGAAGCAAGTTTGATCGATCATGCCCTTCCCTCTACGTCTACCCTGCAACAACCAGGGGAGAGTAATCGGAAAGGTCAGGGGGAAAGGACGGCCAAGGTGACTCCCTCGTCTCCCGCATCTGCCTTCTGCTCCACTTCCAGTACAGCTTTCTGTCGGGGGTCCCTGAGCCTCCGCCCCGACACCCCAGCACCAGCCAACCCCCAAAAACTACCTACCAGCAGATTCCGCAACATCTTGGCTCAGTTGCTGCCCACCAACCGCGACTACTGAACGCCAAAAACCGGAAGCCGGGCCGGAAACGGAACTCCCTCCTGGCTCTGCGCGTGCCTCCAGAATAAGCGCTCGTTCCTGGAGGAGGAGGAGGAGGGGCTCGCGCAACAGACCATAGAGAAAGCAAACTGAGCCAGAGCGGCCGCTGACAACAGCCGCTCTAGCAACCCCGCCTCCCCGGCCCGCGCTTTCCGGTCCATCTATACCACCTGTCTCAGCTCTCCCCGGCCGGCAGCCGGGCCCAGAACTAGGGCTAGAAGCAAGCAAACGCCGTCTGCGATCGGAGAGGCGTGATGTCTGCAGCACTTCACTCTTTGTTGAAGTCAGTAGGAGACCAGACTTTCCGGAAATTAGCTTGTCTTTTGAGAAGGCCTTTGAGTGGCTGTTTACGGACTGAAAGAACAATGGATGTCAAAGCTACATCGTGCAAGCTTAAAAATACAAAAGCTCCTCGACACGGATACAGTCCAGTTTGGGGGTTTGTTTTCCACAGATGAAAGTGGGGAGCGTTAGTCTTTGTGCTGAGAACATACTGGAAAAAGCAATGTTGGTATCCATAGGTATCTAGCACTTTCTTGTGTTAAACTCCACTTGCTGGAAGCGCTTTCTGTGTTCCCAGACTGTGGAACTGGCTGGCTTCATTATGAGCCCTGGAAAATGCTGAAAAGAGGGGAGTATATTTTTAATTGAGGTTCAACACAAATATCAACTGCGTCTTGCTTTCTCAGATCAGCAGGACACTACACTCTATGACTGGAGTTGCGCGTATTTTACAGATAGGCTGTCAGCGTTTTGCATTAGTCTTGCTTAATTATTCCTCCTTACAACTGCCTTTATTCCCTCTGCTCACCCTCATGTATGTACAAGTAAAAACAGTCTGCCCGCATTACAACAAATGTCTTTCTACCCTTTTGTAAACTTGGAAATGATCTCATTGCCGTTTCAGGTAAAAGCTGATAAATGGGTTCAACAATGGTAACTGAATGAAAACTGATAATGTCTAATTCCTTCAAATCCTAAGGGTTCTTTCTTTGTTTTCTTAATAACCTACTGAAGGGGCTAACAGGCCCAAACATGGCAAACATGGCCTCTGGCAGGCCTTCCCCTTCCCCCATTCCTTCTTCTTTGCTAAAAACTGTTGGATTAATTAATTAATTAATTTTAGTTTTTTGAGACAGGGTTTCTCTGTATAACAGACCTGGCTGTCCTGGAACTCGCTTTGTTGACCAGGCTGGTCTCATCTCACAGAGATCTTCCTACCTCCGCCTCCTGAGTGCTGGGATTAAAGGTTTGCACCACCACCTGGCTAGATTACATTCTTAAAGCTAGCCACCAGGTCTATTCCCTTTTTTGGCGACTTCCTGAGGCTGACTACCAAGGTCCAGCTATCAAAGTATTGAAGTCCAGCAATCAAAAGCCCCCTTTTGGCTCACCTAATTTAACATGCCCAATCAAAATTAAACACCTCATCCTAACATGTTTCCCCTCTTACCTTTATAAACTGCCATTTGCATATGGCCCTCGTTTGTCTCTTCTCTATCTTCCGGGACAAATATCCCCTTCCTCTCTCGTTCCTTTTCCCTTTTTCCTCTGTCTCCTGTCTTTTTCCCTTATTCCCTGCTCTTTGTCCTTTTGAGGCAAATAAATCGCCTTTGTGCTGATAACTTGGTCTTGGGGCGTCTTGAGCCAATACCTGTCCTTTTATCTACTCCGTTAATTTGTCCAAGTTACATAACAAAGTTTAATTTTCCTTCCTTACCCAGTTTATAAACACCCATCACGACCAACTTATTTTCTACCTCTGAATTATTCAATGTAACCAAATCTTTGAGCATAATTACCATATATGCCAATAGTTGGGGTGTGGGGAGTTGTCTACATTTATTTTCTGTAGTTGGGATTCATTAGTTTGTGCTGTTTTCTTTCACCACAGGCTATAAACTTCCCCAAGATAGACTATACTTACCATTCCTCTAGTACTATTAAATTAAAAGTAGACCACTAACCAACAGTGAATGCATTCTGTATGACAGACCTAGAAATACTGACTGTCCAAAAAGAACCAAGAGTTCACATTAAAAGGACCTACTGTAGATACAGATCCTTATAGTCTTGTCACTTAGGACAGTACAATTTTCTCTTTACTGGATCTACAAACATTCCATTTTAAGAAGGAAATCACACATACAAAACAATGTTTACTATCCCATTCTCTTCTCCAGAATAAAAACAGACTTCTTTAAACTTGTGCGCCCTTTCTTTGGTCCTAATATTTTTAAAATCCCATTTTAGGCAAGCTTCTACATTATCAGCAACAGATAGCACAGCTGCTCATTCCCTTAGAGTACATTTTAATTTGGAAGTAAACCATCAAGGAAAACAGGGCAACATGAGTTTGAAACAAGGGGCTTTTAGTGAGACTTCATACACAACTCTCCTGTCCTATTTGACACTGTACCTTTTAGTTTTCGCTTGGCTCCTCATCCTTTCAACACCAAAATTCAAAAGTATCCTACCTTTCCTAAATGTGAACTGACATTTCCCTTAAACTCAAGACATCCTTCAGATGTCTAATGGAGATCCTAAATTAACTTATACTTTCTATATTTTTATTCTTAAATCTTCTCCTCTGCAATTTCCTCCAAACGTTTTACTACCACACTCTACAATCAATTCTATGGGTGCAACTTCACCATCTAATCTGACCATTTATGATCTGCAGGCGAAGCCAGCAACATCTCTCACTTGGATTTCTGAGAAAGCCTTAACTTGTTTCCATCTTCCTCTTCCATCACTGTTGTCTCCCAGCATCCAGACTGATGGAATTTAAAAATGCTCACTATTTGTTTGACAAATAGTACCCTGCCCTCCCCATCAACAAAAAAAAATTCACTGAAAAAAACAAACAAAAACCAACTAACATTTGTTGGCCTCCTTCTGCAGCTTTGTCAATCCCAGGGTTGTTCAGTATCTCCTTGTTCCTGCCTTCTTAACTGTCACTTTGGATAGAAAAATGTGGCTGAAGCCAGGCGGTGGTGGCACATGCTTTTAATCCCAGCACTCAGGAGGCAGAGGCAGGCGGATCTCTGAGTTGGAGGCCAGCCAGGGCTACACAGAGAAATTCTGTCCCAAAAAAACAAAGGGAAAAATGTGGCTGAAATTTGCCTTGGTCTACCTAACTATTAGGTTCGTCCTAAATATGCTAGAAACTCATTACCAGGTCTCTGAATTTATCCAATGATCCCTAAATTAACTTTCAAAATGGGCTCCTTTCCAAAACATCAGTTTGAGGTTGTTTAGTTTGTTGATGTTTTTGTTCTTGTTCTTTCATATTATAGAATGGTTCTTTTGAGTAATGCATACATGACACTTAACTCCAGGTTCAATATTTTGAAGTTGCTAGTTGTATTAATTTTATATGTGAGTCCAAATTTAGTCAAGGGACCTGTCTGAGAAACTAGAAAGCCTAGTGTCACTACTTCCATATTACTATCTCCCTTTATTGTGTATCACAGCTGGATTGATGATAGATCCCATTTCTTAATTTTTCTCAATCAAATCCTTGTGGTTGTGGTTTCTATGTTGATACTTCTCTAGCTATTACTGTTGAAAGCAACAGATCAACAAGAAAACTCTTGGCAGATAGCAGAACATACACAGGCAGAGGGATGGGAACAGATAAAAAGCGTGGTTTGGCAAAAAGACGAAGTTGTTCATGGCAGGTTGGTTGCCATGACCAATTTAAGTATCATTTTGAAGGTGCCTTGGAGCCATTCAAAGCTTTAAGGAGTATAGGCTTAGAATACAAATTCCATTTTAAGATAATACTAGTTATAATTAAAGGCTGGAGAGGACCCAGGTTACTAGAGCCAAAGAGTCAGGTTTTGCAATAACACAAAAAAGAAGGATGGCTGAAGTTCAGCAACAGGAGCAGCAGGACATAGATGAGTAGACACATACAACAACACATTAAAAACAAGTGCCTTGTGCTGTGGGATAATGCTCTTGTACACTGTAAAGATTTGTCACTCAAACTGGTTTAATAAAACGACTGGCCAGTAGCTAGGCAGGAAGTATAGGCGCAGCAACCGGACTAGGAGAATTCTGGGAAGAGGAAGGTTGGAGTCAGGAGTTGCTAGCTAGACATAGAGGAAGCAAGATGAGAATGCTGCACTGAGAAAAGGTACCAAGCCACGTGGCTAAACATAGATAAGAATTAAGGGTGAATTTAAGTGTAAGAGCTAGTTAGTAATAAGCCTGAGATACCAGATGAGCATTTATAAGTAATATTAAGTCTCCAAATCAATTATTTGGGAAGCAGCTGCTGAGTATTTGGGAACAGGTAGGCAGGAGAGAAACTTCTGCCAACAACCTTGAAAAACCAGCAGTTTGTGATTTATTTGGATTAACCAGCTGAAAAGCTTGGGGTTTCTAGATTAATTCATAATAGAGTCAGTTTATCCAGCAATCCATGGAGAGTAATATAAGAGAAACTCCTTGGGCAGGGGGTGTATGTAGCCCAGTAGAGTCTGGGCTACAACCACCAGTATCCATTCCACCCCAAACAGCAACAAAAGGAAATCCAGGTTTATATGGAATGATTACTAGTTGTATTATTAACAGATTAATTCAATATTAATCATTTTTAAGAGAAAGTAAATAACCTAGAGCTCAGGAGAGATATCAATGAATATACATCAAGATCCACTTAAAGATGGTAGTGAAAATGGTAATTTACTAGACGGCCAGGCATGGTAGTATACATCTTAATCCTAACACTCAAGAGGCAGGGCAGGTAGAGTTCTATGATTCTGAGGGCAGCCTGGTCTACACATAAAGTTCAAGGTCATCCAGGGCTACACAGTAAGACACTGTCTACAATAAGACATAAAAGTGCTTCTTTTATTCCAGAAGTATGTGTAATAGGTCCAGAAAACAATCTCTAAAACTCCCAGTATTTTATGTGGTGAGCATAACTAATATATACAAAGGAAACTAAGGAAAATAAGTAGGGAGAAAATTAGGAGTTATCCACAAGCCAGATGCTAAGGATGAAAAGGAAAGGAACATGCCTAT